AGGAACTAAGTGTTCAAGATTTCTACTTTTCTCATCTATTTTACGGGAATATCTGAAATTCCCAATTTTTGGATCCAAGTTATGTAGTACCTATAAATTTAATACCTAGAAATTTAATATTATTTGTATCTAACCCTCATTGTTATTATAAAATAGATATAACATTTAGTTCATTATACATACAAAAATATTTTCGCATCTCATATCGTGATGAAAGACATTTGCACTGCGTAAAAACACAAGACCACGACAAATATCTCGAACAATTTGTATTTTTCTAGTCCAAGGAATATCAAATTTATTATAAAGCTCTTTTAAAGTTCCATATTCAGCCCACTCAAAGACCATAACTTCATAATTATCGACGGTTGAAAGACCATAAAATTGGAGAATGTACGGTGATTGACCTAATATTCTAAGGATTTCTAATTCAATTTTAAATTCATCGTTTTGTTTATTTTGCACAACATCTTTAATAGGTTTGCATGCAACATCTACACAATTTTTATAAAATTTTCTAATGACTGGATAATCTTCTGAACCACGAAAATCTTGCTTCATTCGACAAACATGATCATTTAAATGACTTGGTTCGACTTTTGGTGAATGAATGTTATCTGGTTGTCGAGTTCTTAAAATGTTCATACCCTGAACTATGGTATCGAGTTGGTTGCGAATGTCTTTTACGCCACAATCAACTTCTGTGAGAGTCTAAAATAGATAAACGAAAAAGCAAACTATTAAAACCAACTTAATCCAACTTAATAATATCAAGTATTCCTAAATAATTATGCATACATCTTTAACGTTCTTTAGACAACCATCGACTCTTTCTGCTTCTATCATTCTTTGAACTTCACTAGCAATTGCCATAGTAAAATTTAGGTCTTTCATACATATATCATATTCTTGTATTAATTTGTCAAATTTTTTTTTAATTTCTGCTGCGTTAAGAAATTTTCTAAAACCTTCAAGTTTTGACACTTTAATAGTAAATTCCTTCACATTTTTCAAAACAATTTCAAATCTTTTAAAAGATAAAAAACACTTTTGAAAATAACTCTCATTATGATTAAAAGCTAATGTTTGAGTCATAGCACATTCTGCAATTGCTACTCTATTTGCCATGATTAAACAAATATCCCTATTACACTCTGCATCTTCGTAAATTTTTTTAATTTCATCAACTAAAATTTTCACCATATTAATGAAAGGAACATATGATGCTGCTATTTCTGCAGCAGTTAAAGATGCGTTGATTGCTGCATCTATTGCTGCATCTTTAAATTCAGAGTTGTCTTCGTTAATGTTAGCGTTAGTACTCATAATTGACAAAAATGAGCTTGTTGTAAACATTTTTACGTATGCATAAAAGTTTGTGTTACGTACACAGGCTGTCTAATTTATAACTGCAGCGATTATTTCTGTAATTAGTGAATTTACCAATCATTTGACTTCCATATTTGAACATGAATCATAAAAAAGTAACACAAGAAAATTCTACAACTGAATTGTTAGCTTACGTACATGAAAATACGTATTCGTATTCGAGATTCAGGAGTTCTCGGAAGTATAGGTAGGCGCAGGTTTCGGATACTGTATATCCGTCAAGATTTATACGTACGTAACGTCAGCGGCTGTGTGAGCGTATTTGCCGATCTCATATATACGAATTCGTAATACGTACGCCAACGTATGTATCCGGATTATGAGTATAATAGGAAATCAAATTTCATAAATGTTAACTTGAATGATTTGCTTTTTTTGTACAGTACCGGAAATGTGCGTGCATACGTGGGTAATTATATTATATTTGAATCAAGACCCAAATGTTATTACGTCATATCTAAAATTGGACCAGGTTCAAAAATTCAAAAAGAATTACCGTTACCAGCTATTAGGAGCACCCAATTTGTCACGCAGATCATGTGTATAAAATTTTTAATGAGGTCAAATGATCGACGCAGCTAAATTTCATATGTAAAATTTGATTTCTAGGCATATTTAACAACAAAGAAACTGTCGGTTTAATTTCTGGGTATCATTTTACAAATTCTCTAGCATTTGAAGGTTCTTCATATGAAATTTTAAGGGTGGTTAAAAATAAAGTGGAAAAGAATGCGGGCACCGAAGTTTTCCAATTTTTTATGTTAGAATTACTTTTTTGATTGCATTTAGGGTTACATTTTTGATGCAGTAATGGTTATTGGGTTATTGTCCGGAGCGAGGACTCTTAATTTCCATGCGGGTGATACAAAAGTTACTTTTTTGATGCACCAGTAGGTGGTGATAAGATAAGATCTGGTAAGGGTTGTTTAATAGCTATAGAAAAAATTAGGTCCATATAATTGGCATTGAATTTGAGTTTACCATGTATAATTCTGCCAAAGAATTTGGCAGCT